CCCGCCGCCGCAGTCTCTCTGAATGGTCATGTAGTTTGCATTTGTTTGTCTCCTGTGTTAGGTAACGCTGGCTTCCTTCGAGTATCTCGCTTATTTTCCTGTCTGCCTTAAAAAGGCAAACTGAAAAATGCGTTTTCTTGGTCTGATGAATGACTGTTTAAAAGCTTACTAGTGCTGACAGGTAACAATCACCTCTACTCGTAGGTGTTTCATTAGGGCCCGGAAGCGTCAAATTACACTGGGGCAGAGTTTTGTTAGGCACGGTTCAAATGCACAGGTGCGGTCCCAGGTGCCAAGAGTTTTCAGCTGAAATAGACGATATGTTCAGAGGAGAGGAGGAGGGGGAAAGGGAGAGGTCTGAAGCACAGAGATTAGGTAATGTGTCTGCTGTTCCACAGAAAGTAACAAACCTGGGAGTGGAATCTGTTCCTTTGTTTTTGATCCCCCCCCCAACATTTCTGAATTGCTCATTACTCCTCCTATCAGCCTTCCTTCTTGCTTTCCATAAATGTAAATTTTTGAGAAAGAGAAATTTACCAGTCAAACGTGTATTTCTTTTGAGATTAAATGAGTTTTCTCACTCAATGAGTTGTTTCGAGATTGTTCAAATAATATTAATTTGTCATCCAGCCATAAGATAAGATGGCAAAGTCAGTTTTGTGACTGGTGGAGTTCTTCTCCTTTCTATATCTTATTTCTCCTTGAAATGCGGGTAACCTTTCTATTTGACGGTAGAAGACATTGGACTATATGCATCATGTATTCTCAGGGTAGCCTACCTTATTTTAAATTTAAACTCGTCTTTGCTGTCAGGGCTATGCTGTGTATTTTACGAAGCTGGGAGCTCAAAACATTGGTTTCTCTAATGCTGGTAATGAGCTTCATTCTCGGAATGAAAAGTTGATTGCACGCAGTGGAAGAGCTAGCATTAATGCTATTTAAAAATCAAAGCAAAAACAAATTAAAAAAAAGCAAATCGGGTATGTTAAGTGCAGGATTGTTAATTGTTGTAATTGTAGACTAATAGAAAATGAATGAGATACTGTAATTTTATATGCTGTCTTCGGCTATAATCTTAGGCTAAAACGCGCATGTATGGGATGTTACTTGAAGTTTAGCAAATGGTCATATCCTGTCATGGAAGACTCTGAAATTTGGGAAATGGAACTGCTGCTTTGTGCTGTATGTTTATCTTTATAGTAAGAAGTTGTGCATTTGAGTTACATTTTATTGAAAGTTATTTATTACTTAAGCCTTTAAAGCTTCAAGAGAGACCTTTTCCAATATCACTGGCGTAGTTTTTGCTGGCAAGGCTTTCTACTGAATGAAATAATGTGTACAAGTGGTTTTGTGCGCAATAGTATCTTAGTCTGCAACATGTCCTGTCATAACTCTAGTATCATCAATAAAACAGCAACCAGCTGGAAAGCTTCAGGAATTCTTCCTCCCTCCCCCATTGAGTAGCTTATCAGTGGACAATGAAATGATTCTTATCTTGAACTTCCTCAGTCACAGCAGACAAATTTAAAAAGCTGCCTAGAAGACAAATCATTGGGTTTATTTTTGGAGGTTAGTAGGTATTTGACTTGTTTGAGAACAACTTCAGCCCTATTGTGAATTCCTCTCTCATCTATTCCATGACAGGCTGCTTTGGCTTCCTGTATTTAGGACCTGTGATTGATGTTTTTTGAAGTGTGGGACCTAAATAGTACTCTCTATTCTGGGGCTTGGCAATTTTTGCAGTTCACCATAACCCTCAGCCTAATACTTACAAGTTGTAAGCCTGTGAAGATTTTAATGGGCTTTTCAAAAAAAAAAAATTTGAATAACTTGTTTCAGAGTTACTTCAAGGTTCCACAATTCTTTGCCTGGCAAGAGGGGTTGCTTCTGTGACAGTGAGGATGCGTTTTGATGTTTGTTGCCCGGAGCACTCTACAGGAAAGATGGGAAATCACAGAAAAAGGAGGAAAGGATATGTGCTTGTATTTGTACTGGTGAACTTCATGGATAGTTCATGGACTGTACTCATAATTAACTTATCTTTTGGGGAGGAAGCTGGAAAGCAGGAAGTTGCTGGGAACAAGTTCTAGCAAGACGAGACTGGGTTCCTTGTTTAAAAATGCTCCGTTTTGTGGTATTGTGGAAGTATGCCAGATTCTACGGCCCCAGAATTGTGAAGTTCCCAGAGCCTCAATCGAGATGAATGAAGCAGTTCTTTGTAAGTATGGCTTTGTAGTGTTTGCAGATTGAGGAAGGCATTGATGATGTGTTGTATATTCATCTTGCTTTTTTTCAGGTTATATTTCTAACCTCTTCCTAGTTAAAAGATTTTTTTCCAATAAAGAGGATTTAAAAGAAACTAATTTTTAGAATCATTCCCCTGGTATAGTTCATAGCAATTATTATGGAAAAGGGGAAAAACAAGATGTTGAAGATGCTACCAGCTAAAAATACTTTGACCGATGTAGGCTTGATTTATTCTGTGGATGGAAAAAGAGGATACTAATATGCATTGTAATAGATCTGATGTCAGCCTTTGAACAATTTCACTGTCTAGCTGATCAAAACAAAGAAGTTCATAGAATTGAAGCGGTGTAATTGTTTTGAGCCTATGGAGTATTAGTGATTTTTACCGGAGCACGTCAGGCTAAGATGACTTCAATTTTTAGTAAGGCTTTTATATTATGTGGCTCAAGGAAAGGCATTTAGGAAATATTCTTTAGTAGCGGTGTTTTGCAGGCAAACATACTGTGCTGTAATCTGACACTTCTCCTTTACTATGATACAGCTTTACATTCAAATTCAGGTTTTCTTTCTGTTCTTCTGACTTGAATTTTCATACTTGACCTCAATTCAGCTCTCTCTCCAAAAAAAAATGGATTCTGAATCAGTTATGTATGTAATGTCAGACAAAATATTTCTAGCATTTCTATAATATCTGAAGTCCTTCCAAATAAAAAGGAACAGGGACTCCAAAAATATTCATGTTTTCCTGTAAAACTTGAATAGGTGGTAACATTTTTAAAGTTTGTGTTCAATTCTACATTTATAACGAATTACATGGCCTATTAAATTGAATAGAAATAGCTGGACTGGTGCCTACGCGCTCTCTTGATTTGTACTGCGAACCTCAGTCTTGGGACTTTCTTCCTGGACCTGTTGAACATAGTGGCAGTGACTTGTTGAAAAGCCTGATCATGTACAAATCCAGGAAAAAGCACTTAGGAATTGGTGTATAGTATTCAGAAGCATCTATATATAGAGTACCTAGATGTTTGTGCAACTATATCTAGTAGCTTCAAGTTGGCCATAGATGACAGATATATTCTGAGGTGGAATTTTGGGAGTTTTTTTTCTTGCTAAGATGAATGTTTTAGCCTGGATCGACTCTTGGGGAAACTGTTGCTTTTCAGTTGCTGTGGCGTGGTGTTTCACTAGGAATTCCTCACTTGTGATGGTGATCTGTGGTTTGGTACCAGGCAAGAGTTGCATGACACTTGCACCTAATAAGGAAAACGATTTTCTAAATCTGTGCAAGTTAGAGACTCGGACCACTTGAAGTTAAGAAAGATCTTGATTGTAAAGTAGGGACTTTAATTAGTGGTTTAGTTTTCTTGGGAGTGGTCTGCTCATCTAACACTTCTCTTCCCTTTCAAGCATTAGATTTTTTTGATTTGTTTACTTTTTTTTTTGAACTTTTGTCCCAGATGTATAATAGTTGTAGAGCTAGAGCTGTTAAGTTGTATTTTGTCTTTTATTTCTATCTGTGAATTTGTCTCTCTGAGGTAAGGCTCTTTGGCCCACAGGAACGTCCCTCAAATGTGCAAGGCCTTGTTCACAGGTTTGATCTGCTTTCTCTGGCTAGGAAGTATCTGGAGTTTGCGACCAGCGAAAGCACTTTGATAGTTTTATAGGAGGAGGCCACTTTTAAAGTTAATTTCTCACATCTTTGATGCCTGCTTTGATGCTTGGGTGTATTTAATAATTTCTCAAGTATCATTGTAGCTTATTAAGATGACACTGGTCAGAAACAGTCTAAAAGTATGTGCTCATAGCATCAGGTCTGGGCCATCAGTTTGAAAGACCCCCATTGGTTAGCGCTATTTTTGCCATAGGTCCCTTATAAAAAAGGAGTTTGTCTTATATAGTCAAATGCAGCATCCTATTTGAAAAGCACAAAAGGAAAGGCTTCTATATTTTGGAGGGCAAATGAACAACTGTTGGGCAAGCCTTAACAGTAGTCACTCTTCTGGACCTTTGCCATAGTTTGGGTTCAATCACTACGCATGCGTGACTTACCTGTGTAGGATACAGGGATCCTCAATCAATATCATGCCAGAGGCAGTGAAAATCAAGTTCTTTGTTTCTGCATCTTGCTCAGTCCTAATGCCCTGTTTCTGCAGTTGCAGGACAGTGTGTGTAGTACTAGAGTTTTCTTTAGATCTTACTACTTTGTCTGCCTTTCTACTTAATGCATGCATCTAGTGTCCGGAGTATGATAAGGCTCTGGATATGATTTGCAATAGCTTTGTCACTGCTGTCACTCTCTATAAACCCTTTGTTTTCATTGTACTGCAGTTGTGAAAGGACTTGAGCGACATCAATGGTACTATAAATGTTCTGTAGAAATCCTTGTATAATAGGAAACATATAAACTGTGTCCAGATAGCTGTTTCAGTCTGTGTTAGGTGTAAGCACTGTAAGTACAACCTGTAGCAAAAAGGTGCTGTGCCAGATACAGCTTAGTTCGTGTGACTGAGTGAAGGAGGCTGTGTCAGTCACTTGTCTTCTGATGGCTTTTGTTAGTATGAAGTGCTGGTCCAAAGTAACACCTTGTCCAACATTACACTTAAAAAAAAAATTTCTTCAGTGGTAAGGAAATACCACTGCAATGACTTAAGAGTGATGCAAATTTTTAGAACTGCCTTTGCAACCTGAAATTTATTTGGCATGAAAGAGGTGTAGAAAAGTATAGCAGTAGACTTCTGAGTGCTGGCTTTAAGCTTTCAGTTCAGTCACTTTAAGATCCAGTTATCCAGAATCAATGATCTATGCTATGGCCTGTTCTCTGCTAATCTGTATCCTAGGGTCCTTCAGAAATGAGCAGGGATGAGAAATGGAGTTGAATAAGCTCTTTTGGCAAACTGTTGGTTCTTGCTGCCTTTCCTGTATTTTTTTATTCCAGTCTCATGTCAGAGTTGCCAATGCATCTATTGCGTGATCAAAATTCCAGAAAATCGCATCCCATGAAGCATTACATGTATTGACTCTTTTCACATGAACCAGAAGAAATGCCTGTCTTCAAAAATGATATATGTTAATAGGTTGTATACCTATCAAGTGGAGGTGGGGGAGAGAGAGAGATGCTGATTTGGTCTGCATGCTGCAGGTACTTCTGATGTTTTGAGATACCAAGATGTGTAATCTTCTCATGCTGCTTAAAGTGGCTATTGTCTACCCTGTTGGAAACCTTTCGGCCCCTGTGCCAGACTATTGGAGAAATTGTAAAAAGCACATGAGATCAAATTGTACTTGACCAGGAATTGGTTGTTAAAAGCAGTATCTAGCAGTGTAGAATAAAGCAAGCTTTGCAGAATTCTTTAAAAGCAACCACTCCCCCATAGTTAAGAATCAGATCATACTTTTACAAGATATAATGCTACCTGGATTTTCTACATACGCTGTCATGAAAACACAAGATATGCAATTTTTTGGCATGTCTGTTTTTTACCTGTTTAGCCTGCGTTGCTGTGTGCAAACGTGATTCTAAGGCTGTGTGAAGCTTCAAGCTGATTGTGCTCTGCAAATGCTTAAAGTGCTAGCCTGTATTTTAATCCTTATTAAAATAGAGCAGTATGCTGTTGTGTGAGTAATTCTTTGACATTACTGGGAAGAATTGTAGAATAATAGACTGAGGACATAAATGTAAAGGTAAACCCAGTTCTTAATTTTATTAGCTGCTAACTGTTCAGCCAACATTCAGGTGCACCTGGAAAAGTGTGTTTTGCGGGAGGAAAAAAAGAGGGTTGGAGCTGTGCAGTATTGAGGATGCTGAAATGGATGAGAACACAGCATTGCCCTAGGTATTCTTGCCTTAGGACATGCAACCTGTGCCAGCCTTACCTATGACGTGGACTTGAGCAGCTGTAGTTCCTAGCAGTAACAGCATGCTGCAAAAAATATATAAGGAGAACGTGGGATAAAATACTTCGGAAAAGTACTGGCTTAATGATTGGATAGACTCCTTGCATCCTTCCTAAGGAAAAATAGGAGGACTGAGACAATTTCCAAGAATTGTTGGTATAGTTATACATCCAGTCATGATATGAAGTAGCTAGTGTTTCTTCTTGAATGCATTGAAACATCTTGCATAGGACAATAGTGATTTTAGTCACATGTCTGCAAAACATGTTTAATTAATATACTGGCTTTTGTCCCTGTAGAGCTACGCAAGAGTGTGTGTGTGTGAGGTGGGAAGCAGAGTCTTTTATTGCTTCATGGGGAAACCTCTGTAGAAAATTGCCATTTACTGTCTTTCTTACCTTTATTTCTGATGATTATTTGTTGCAAAGAAGAAAAGCTGGTGGATTTTCAAAAGGATTACCTGTGCATGGGTATTGGCCTTTCATTCTGTGTCCTCCCCATCCCCTCATGAGGGCTTTAAATAATAGGGGTCTAGGATGAAGTGGGGACTGTGATGGCCAAGTTGAGTGGAGAGAGGGGAAATATTTCAGTTTCTGCCTGGAAGAATACGGCAACAAAATAAGTTGCATGTGATTTTTCCGCTACTGCTGCAGGTCTTGTCATCTTAGGCGCATCTTTCTAAGCGTTGGGACTTTGATTTAGGCCCTGTAAGGCAATTCAGATTTAGGCAGGAAATAGTTTGTCTTGCTGACTTTTGTTTTTTGAAAGATTAAATACAAGTGTGCACAGTAATTTGGACAGCTGTAGCTTCGAGTTTGTAAGTATTTTTCACTTGAGATTGTATCTAGTAATTAGGGTTTTCTGTGGTTGTAGGGAAGAATGAAAAAGAATAAGATGACAAAGTGCTTTTGCATAAATATATATTTCTAATACCACAGCAAAGGTTACTTTGTAATGCAAGCTTTGCCCTATTCAGTATAAGGACAGTCATAACACAGTCATGAGAGGGAAAGGTTTTGAATATCGCTCCTTCAGTTAATTTTCAACAGTTTGAATTTTCAGCTTTACATCTCA